CCCTCGAGGGCTTGCCAACCTGGCTGAGGTCCATGAGGTGACCTACAAGTTGTGCTCGCCGACAAATTCGGTATGCATATCCCGACACTCCCAAGTTCCTCAAAAGTTGGCCCACGTACCGAGTGTTCCGGAGGATGGTCAACGTGCATGGCGGTTACCTCCAAGGATCTCGGATCGGTTAGGCACGACCTCCTAGAAATCTCGGATGCGGTGCGTGAGGCCCACACCAAACAATGCCTATATAAAGGCACCAATCCTAATGACACAAGGGGGACACGCGATTAAGTACATTCTAGCTCTCATGCTTTCTGATTTTTAGCTCGCAATCTACTACAAGAGTACTAACTTAAGCATCAGAGCGACCTCGTCGGGTTAGCCACCCCGGGTCCTCTGACATTGTTTCTTTGCAGGTCTCTTCGAAGAGCTACCCAGCTCGGCACCGAAGTAGCCTCCTAATTCAATCCAGTCAGTTCAGCATCCAAGCTTTTATCTAGCAAAAATATTCTAGCTCAACCTCTGAGTCATCAGACACCAAGAAGTAGTCAGAACAACAGGGTGCTGCCAAAAAACCCTTCATCAGATACCGACACAAAATATTGCTGGAATTGACATATCCCCCAGTGAAAGCTACCATTATTATGTGGAGTAGTAGTGTTATTGTCCACCTTGATAGGCATGATTACCATTTTGAGCTCCAATTATTGATCAAAAAAATGATTACTATTTTGAGCCAGCTAAAAGTTCTTTTCAAACATGAAGTTAAGTCCTAGCTTTTATTGTATAACAAATTATTTGGTTTATCTAATAGAACCATTTGCACTTTCCACGAGTTTAAATTTTGCTTTAACTCACACTATCGTGTTTTTTTAATGATTTAAAACAAGATAACAATTTAAAAGGGTCTGCCATGCATCTTTTATCATTACATAAAATAGCATTCTATGTTTTAGCATATTTCACAATGTTTCCGCATGTCATAATTCTTACAAATATTTCCATACAACGTTTTTGTTATGTTTCCTATATTTGGATTATCAATATTTCCACCAACACAGACATTTTAACCCATGACTTAACTCACCTGATCCATAATCTGAACACCCTCACTCTCTTGCACCTCC